TGATAGACTGTAGTGTAAGAGGAAGTCAGTAAGGGCCACAACATCAGGAGTACCCAGCAGGGCCACGCCTTACCCCTATCCCAGGGAACAGCTCATCGATACCAGCTAATTTCTCTCCCCACATCCAAGCATGACCAAGACCACAGCCTTTACCTCTGCCACAAACCCCTAGTCATTTCCAGGATACCCTGCACTGCCTAATCTTTCAAACGATGTCTTTCCTACATGTTCTCAAACATATTTACATCTAATTTCTACCAGACAATGCTGAAAATGTGGATACTCATGTGAAAGGAATATGGTGGGCTTTACAGTGCCTATTTGGTTTGTCTATTTTGAATTACATAGTTCTGGTTGAAATTAGTTATTGTGGCTATTCAGAAAAACCTCAGCATTAGCAATAATAATTACTTGAGCTTGGAAGCAGGAGTGGCATCCACTTCCACAATAGCTTGTTTCTGGAAACCCTATGAACCTCGAGAAAGGAATAAAGTTATATAGGAGGTGTCCAGGACTTTCGTTCACAGGGTTTCTATGAGTCGCCTGTGACTTGAAGGCAGTCAACAACAACCACTTGAGCATTCAAAATGACCCAAGTATCAAATAGATACCAAGGTAAACTGTCAGAAAAATGCTGCAAGATTATCATAACAATCCCACTTTACAGAGAGATACTCAGTTTCTACAAATGAATTTGCTGCCGAGGCCATACAACTAGCCAACAGGGTGGCTTCATGTAAGCCAGGAAAGGCTCAAAAGTTGATGTCCTTCTCTCTATCGCACTACCTCTGAGGGGAAGCTGCACTGAAGAAAGCATCCTCAGGCCACATTAAGTTTGAGATTACCCCTATCAAGGTGTCCTCCCAAAGCAAAGTCTGAGGGAGACTTCTCGAGTCATACCAACATTCACCCACACAAAGAATGTGCTAAGGCAAAGGGATGTTTTTCTGTCTGCTGCAAAATAAAATAGCTGAGCATGAGAATTACGACAACAAAGAAAAGGAAGTGTAAGGGAAGATAATTGGAAGGGGAACAGTGAGCAGTACTTCAGTGACCAGCACATGAGTGGCGTCAAGTCTGAGAAGCAGAACACAGTACGGAGTAGGCTGTGCTCCACCTGGACACTGGCTGGAGGGAAACACCATGCAGTCAGCTCCCACGGGAGCACTTTAGTATCTTTTTGCACCTCGGGAGAGGAAAAAGGAAAAGGATACAGAAAAAATCTCTTTTAGACACCATGAATAATCAGGACAGAATGACCACTAGGGAAGGTAGATGTCTAAGTTACAAACAGGAAATAGCTAAAATAATAGTGAATGCCCAAATGTCAAAACTAAGAGTGAAAGGGACATCTTAAATTATGGTTTCCCGCCTGCCCTCCATGAGGTAACCTAGCACTCATTTGGAAGAGCATTTCCTATTATGTAAAGGAAACATGACAGCACAGTGACATGTGAAATGAAAGGCATTATTCTCTGCACCTACTAAAAGAACATTCTGGCCATGAATCACAGGCGGCCAGATTCCGACTGTGAGATAGTGCTCTGGGACACAGTGTTCTCTGTGTTTGCATAACTCATCCCGGCCCCACACGAGAGCACACGCTTTCGCACTTTCGTCCATGTTGGCAGAACCCAGGTATAGGCCACAGTGACAATAAGCACCTGAGACCTCTCATTTGCTCTGCGTGGGTGGGCCAGGAGTCAGAGGCTGAGCCAGCAACCTCGTTAGGCAATGTCCATGAAATATCAGAGATCCTACAGCGAGCTCTGGTGGCCTAGTGGGAAGAAGCTGTGCTGTAATACCAAAGGCACACAGTTTGAGGCCACCAGTTGCTCTGTGAGAGAAGCATGGGCAATCTCCTCCCATGGAATTAACTCTGAAAACTCACAGGAGACTTAACTATGGTTTGGTATTGGCTCTATGGTATACAACAACAACAACAACAGTAACAACAACAACATTGTAGCTATAGGAGTGGTGAAGTCTTGTTAGCAAGCTAATGCTCAAGCCTTGCTGAGGACATTGTCCACAGTGCAATGGCTGCTATTTCTTGATAAAGACAGAATGGAAGGTGAAGAGAAAGACAGCACTGTGCCCATGGGTATGGCCTTGTGGAAAGAAGCTAGCTACAATCCCAAAGGCAAGCAGTTCTAATCCACCAGCTGCTCTCCAGGAGGATGATGGACAAACTCCCAAGTGATTTACTGCCTCTGAAAACCCACTGGAGCATCAGGTATGGGTCAGTTCTACCTCGATGGTAAATAACAACAATAATGCAGAGAGTGTGTGCGTGTGTGTGTGTGTGTGTGTGTGTGTGTGTGTGTGTGTGGCGCGTTTGTATTTTCTCTTTCTCCACAGTAAGTGAGGATGGTTACTAGCATTGGAGGCACGAGTGTCAGGTTTGCTGCACATCCTGCAGCATGTGAAACACCACCATACAATGCAAAGCATCAGTTGGGAACCCAGAGGAACGTTCAAAGTGTACCAAACCGCTCACCCATCTACCTTAGTGGGCCAATATGAGGACAGCAAAAATGGCTAACACTGTGTGTCAGGCACTGGTCACAGCACTTCACATGGAAAAATGGCACAAAAACTGGTGAGTTGCTTCTAATGCCATTTCTGCCTCGTGCTCCTTATTGCAAAATATTTCACTTCCCTGCGCCTTTGAGGGGGAGCTCTGGTGCCTGATGGTAAGGAGTTGCACTGGCAAGTCAAAGATACATGGTTTGAATCCACCAGCTGCTCCACAGGAGAAAGAGGAGTAATCTCCTCCCATGTGATTAATTATCTCTGAACAACTGCTGGAGGGTCAGCTATGGGTTCGTTATGACTCAAAGGTACAAGACAACAATTTGCCTCTATAGAGGCTCAGAGAAAGAGAGGAAAACTCTTAAGGATATGGACTGACACCGTGACTGTAACAATGGACTGGAGCATATCAGAGATAGTGAGGACAGGGCAGGGCAACTTTTACATCTCTTGTTTAGAGGATTCTCTCCAGGGCGTCTAACAACAACAAGAAGCCTCTGCATTTCCTCATTATCAAAACCAGAGCTGCACTAGATGAGTGGTCTTCACGCTTTATTTTCAATAGCCATCATCTTTCTTCAAAAACATTTCTGTGGCTGTCCCACTCCCTGAATGGTGACCCCATGGTAGCCCCTTGAACTCAGGTTCAACAGAATATGGTTAAAAAGAAACAACAACCACACACAAAAAAACAAATAAAAGCAACACCAAATCTAGCACAACAGCGGTTAGTTGAGGTCCCCTTAAGGACTTATATTCTACTTTGAGATTTCTGGTAACTTGTATGCATATGGGGGGAGAGGGAGGGAGATGAGGGTCTGGTGGAAAGAATATGAACTTTGAAAACAGACTCCCGACTCCCATTTGCTGTTCTCAGGCTCAGCATTAAGTTGGATGGAACTGTCTCATCTATAAAATGTGAATAACGGAACTAACTCTCAGTGCTGTTTTTCTGTGGAAAATCGACAGCAAGAGCCCCTCTCTGCATCTGCACTGTGTATGTACTATCTCATTTAATTGTATTCCTCAGCTGAGCCCTAGAAGGTGGCCCTAATATATAGGTTGTTTACCATCTAATCAGGACCAACTCATAGCTGACTCTCCAGAAGGTTTTCAGAGGCTGTAAATCACAGAGGAGACTGTCCATCCTCCCGGGAAGCAACTGGTGGATATATGTGTCTCGTGGCCTAGTGATAAGAAGCTGTGCTGCAATTTGAAGGCACAAAGTTCAAGGCCACCAGCTGCTCAGAGGAGAAGGATGGGCAATCTCCTCCTGTGCTATTAACTGCCACTGCTGGAGGGTCAGCTATGAGTGAGTTCTGACTTTATAGTATTATAGTACACAACAACAAATATATATATATATATATATATATATATATATATAATCTCTGTATTTCTATCTGAGTTCCTGGAAGGTGTAAACAATCAATATATCCATATGCCCCACTGCTAACAGAAAGATTGGTGGTTCAAATCGACAAAGAAGCATGGCAGAAAAAAGACCTGATAAAAACTATTCCTGAAAAATCAATCATTGAAAACCCTGTGGAATACAGAGTTTTGTTTTGTTGGGGTTTTTGGTTTTTTTTCTGACACACATGGGCTTCTCCAAGATCTGGAGTTGAATCTATGACAACAGGGTTGTTGTTGGTTTTTCTGTTGTGGGTTTATATATTTATATGGTTCCCTAAACTAAAATGGGGAAATTCAAAGCTAAGAAAATAAATATGGTGTCAATAAATTTCATTACTGTTTGCCACAAAACTCATCAAGTGTACTTAAAGTTTATCTCATTTAGGACAGTTTGTCCAATATTCCTAGAGAATTATAGGATATCCTACTAAGTAGTAAAACTGAAATAAAATTTTACATGGGATAGAGTCTGATGTGAGACATTCTATTCTTTTCTACATTTACTTTTTATTTTGTATTGATTTGCATACAGTATCTGTATGTATTGTATTCTATTCATATACACTGCATTTCACACATTCCTTCAATAACGCTGCATTTCATACGATCATTCACATGTATTGTGTTTTATAAAAGTAATTACCATTGATCTGTGCCCAATATTACCCTGTCTTTTCAGACCTTCTCTGGATCCTTCCTAATTCCTTCACTCCCTCCCTCCACCCACCAAACTCTGGGACTCTGTGATCCCCTCCCCTCTCCATCCTCATCCCTACAGGATTCAGAACACATAACAATTTCTTTGGATTTATTTAATACTGAATGGCATTTAGCAACATTAAGAAGAATTTTTAAATTAAAGCAAAACAACCTTTTTACTGGTTAGGGCTGGCCATCCTACTTTTCTTTTCTTTTCTTTTTTTTAATGGTTTTCGGGAGTAGGGGAAAATCTTCCACACACAGACAGCACCATCCTGACCCCAGATGAGCCCCAAGCTATGACAAGCTCCACACGGCGCGCATGGAAGAAGAAAGCAGAGCAGACTCACGTGCCCAGACGCTCCTCATGCTTTTTGCTGTCCTTTCCCCAGACTTCAATGTCCAAAATGCCCATCCTGTCAGAGAAGTAGTGAAAGTCAAACTGTTCCCGCCACTGGGGATTTGCACTCTTACACAGTGTCTAGAAAACATGCAGTTATAATATTTATTTTCTTAAAACGTTAATCATCACTACAATCAGCTACACATGCATTTCATTTCTAAGACTCTAATAAAAGGGGAGTCAAAATGATGCCTGCCACACCTCACACTTTAAATTTTCCCTTTGAAATTAAAAGAACAAAACAACAACTTCTGAGCATGGTGGAATTTGAAACAAACAAACAAACAACCCCAAAACAAACCAGAAACTGTTCTTTAGATGTCCTCTAGATTTATTTATTTATATATTTATTCAATTAGCAGCAATAATCTTATTCCATGGGAAACCATGTATCTATCAATAGACATTTTACACTTATTCTCTCTTCCCACAGATAACCCTAATCGGTTAATTCAACAAAAGTAACATTTTTATTGGCATAGCCATTCTATGTTGATTTAAGAATTATATAAATTAACAGTTTAGCCTCTTAATGAAACTCATCCAGACACATTAAGTAAGACATCCATAGTAGGTAAACTGTCACTAATTTTTAAATCTGAGGTTATTGAACCCAGTGCCTACAGTAGGGTAGAGACAAGGAAATCCCAGTATGGCCACAATTAAAACTGAACAAGGGAGAACTGAGAACTTCACCAGTGTTCTCCAAAAGTTATTTCAAACAGTTAAGTGTCTAGTTCTCTGCAAGAATTTTCCACTTGATTTCATTTTTTAAAAAATTTCATTTTAACCATATATTCAACTTTGGGATAAAATGAAGTAAAACACTGGCTATTATGTGTCAGTCTCTAGGGTGACACAGTGTCAACTGTGACCATACTACTCCTGCACAGAAAAAACATGGATACTTGAGTGGGAGCCAATGCCACATGAAATAATAAGACCATGGAATTCAGAAATCTGGGTAAGGGTCAAAGGTTACTGGACTACAAATTAAACATATCATGCCCAAAGGTGAATGCAGTAGATATTAGACTAATTCTGCTCTTCACCCGAGACCGAAGGGCTAAGTGCACTTAATGTTGAATGATTTGTCTATAAATCCTTAGCCTGACTCTGGCTGGCTCAAGGAATCTTCATGTAGGGATGTGGTTTTCCTGTACAATAATTATCTGCTATTTCTATTATCTGTTAACTCACCCTCAATTCTTCCTATAACTAAATTTTTTCATTATGTGTCTCCAATGCTCCACTCCTTCTGTGCTCATGTTAACAAAGTCTAATATTTGATATTGCATTCAAAATTGGGCAGCTGAGAAGGTCTCTTACTTTCCTAAATCACATTCTAACTTGTCGACATCCATCATGCCCTTTACTTGCAAAAACTGAACTGCTGGTCTACATTCAAATCTCCCACTGATTTTTCAGTCTATGTGGCTTTTGGCAAATGACTTAACTTCCAAGTACTCTGACTCCCTCAGTCCATAAAACATAGGAAATAGTTCTGTCTGATAGTTATGTAAAACCAATTAATTACCACGGTTTGGGGACAAGAGTTTTTTAAATAAAAGTCACACTGAATTACTAAGATTAAAAATAAGTGGAATTTGTATTTTTAAAGTTAGTTTTATAAAACATCACTTTTATTTAAAACAAATCACTTGAAGTACTTTAGATGAATCATTTTTTTTAAAATCACAGCAAAACCAAACAGCAGCAAATAGCTGTTTTTAAAATTAATAGTACCAAGTATGAGAAATCAAAGCATATGTGATTTTGAAAACACTTTTGCTATCTATCACAAGTATTTTAATCCAAACATACTATAACATTCCATTTTTGAAAGATTTTGAAAACCTTTTACCATCCTTTTTCTACATTCCCCAAAACACATAGTTTACATTTTAAAAATATCAAGTACTTAACTCTTTTCTTTAATGAGCTTTACTAGGCTCAAAGTTACAGTATTATAATAAATTATACTAAGCAATCAAAACAGTACTATAAATGGACTTTATTTATATAATTATTTTGTTGTCTGGGCCACAATGAAATATAGTTGGGAAGGTTAAAAAGACATTATTTCAATTCTTGTGAAATTTAGAGTGATAAATATTTCTCTCTCTTTTTTTATCTTAAAGGATACTGTTCTCCTTACAGAATTGACAGAACTTACCTTACTTTTGTACCTCTGATCTCCCAGTTTTAACTGAACAAACAATTCTGTCATGCTTCCTCCTGACACATTCTTTCCTTCCAACAAAGTTATACTTATAATCCCATTCCACAGTTGGTTCTTTCTCAAAGACTCTGAGAGTCGAAGGTTGCGTATCAAAGAGGACTAAAGCAAAAAATAAAGAAGACATATAAACTTGCTGATAAGTAGTGAATGTGACTTTAGAGATCACAGGAATTGCAGGTTTGAATACTTGATTTTAACTATCACTCCCTGCCTATTTTGACTACCCTGCAAACCCAGAGAAGAGAGTTTTTGTGAAAGCCCCACACTTGCAACAATATAGCAAAAAGACGGAGAGAAGCAGGCCTTTTTAGCAGTGATCTTACCTCTCAACTGTGATGAGCTATTTGGTAAGAATTTTAAACTGTGCCTTTGGCTATTTTAATAGTAGGAAGGCATTCTGGGGAACAGAGATAGAAGAACAATGTATTGCTTTCCAGGAAAACACAATACCTCCTGGTATTTAAAATTCATGGCTTTGAAGTCATCCTTCACATTTGAATTTGTCCCAGTATGTCAGGTCCTGGGCTGCAGGACATGGGTTGGGGGAAGGGGGTGCGCTGTGAAGCTGGATAAAGTGCTTCTCACAGAGCTTGGCACCAGGTAGGGGGCTCAGGGCTGACCTACTGACTTGTTTCCACCTACCACTTTAATAATAGAACTTTCTCATATACATCTTGCACAGAATATAGAAAAAGGCCAATAAACTCTTTAATTAAATGATAAAGAAGACAATTCAATGTTTAGCTGCCATCAAGTCAATGGTGCCGTACAACAACCACATGATATGTGGAGCAGAACTTGGTCTTCGGGTTTTTGCAAAAGAAGATGGATATTATGTACTTTTAATTTCCACCATATAACTTTTTAAGTGGGTAGAGAGAGGAGTATAAGAAATGTATATGTGCTATCCACAAATTTCAATGCTTTACCAATTTTTTCCCATTTATCCCTTCGCTAGTTTTTTTCCTTGTTGAAATGCTTTACAGTGTAACCTCTTATCAGACTTTACCAACCTGTATGATCCAACACTAAAAATTAACAGTCATTTCCTAAATATCATCAAACACCCAGTCCATATGTACATTTCCCTGACAATCTCAACAGTGTGCTTTTGAGTCAGCTTAAGGTGGCTCCCACCTGACTCCCCGGCTGCTTTTAGTTGGCCTTGATCACTTCCATTCCCCCCTTAATAAGTGGCGTGAGCACAGATGTCTTTATTTGAAGGAGAAATAAGTGGGCTGAAGAATGTACATGGCATTGAGTATCATAGTAAAGCAATGAATTTCTAACACTATATATCTGTGCCTGTCATCTGCCCAATATATTTCAGAGATCATTTGGACACCAATTTGCTCGGACACCAGTTAGTCACAATTTATTACAACAAATGGCATGTCAGTATCCTATTAATTACATGCCAGCTTACCTCATCCAGCTCACGTCACTCTATCACTTCTTGATAAATGTTCCAACAATGATACACCAGTTATTTTGTTGATAATTTTTTAACAACTTTACACAAATTACATGGAAAGAAATACGTACTTCCAAAATGTGTATCTTTATTGCTTCTCTCTCTCTCACACACACACACACACACACACACACACACACACACGTACAAAGAGGTACTGAGGGTGCCAACCTAAAGTAAGGAGGGCAGGTGAGGAATGATTTAATAAATTAAAGAGATTAAAAACAGCTTCTCATATGGTAAACATGAATAAGTATTTCTTAAATCTTCTCTGCAGTAGTAGGCTTTCTATTTAAAATATTCAATAGTGAAGGATTATGAAAGAAAGAAAAGTAAGCCTTTTCCTTTGTATTGAAAAACCACACAAACATTCAGGAAGCATACAAATACATGCACTCTACATATATAACTACCTATGTGAATAGACAGACATGGAGTTATATATATGATTCCTCATCCAGCTGATTAGACACATAGGCTGACAACTTTTTTCTTTACAAAGAAAATGAGATTTTGATTCATGTCTCCTGCAGCAATTCCTTTTTTGTATGCTCTTCTTCTTCTTAAAGTTTGACTTGCAGACCAAAAAAAAGCTGAAGCATGAACTATCCCATGGCCATGCTTCAAAGTCCCAACAGATATATTCCTCCCTAAACACTGCAACTATTTCAAAATCCTTTTTATAAAACAGGGAGTAATGTCCACGAGAGATCAAAGGGCATCCTACAGTCTGGCAACTGCCTAAGAAAAATGGCAGAGTTTCCATGAAATATGCCCTAAAATAATTTTGCGGCTTGGTATGTCCTAATTTCAAATTGGATGTTTATCTTGGAAAGACTTCTATCTAACTTGTCCATAAAACAGCCCCACTTAGCTCTATGAGCTCTGTGAAAATGGAATCCAAAGCTGGTTATTAAGGGGCTGGGAGATGGGTTCCATATGGCAGAACAGCATGCGAGGGCAGGCAGAGGCCGCCACCAGCCAGGGCTTGGCTGGGGCTCCTGATCTATCCGGGGACACCAGTTGCATTACACCATGACATCTGGATTATTGCTTGTAATGTCCCTGGGAAATACCCACTTTCCATCAAAGCCTTTATCTATCTCACTCAGAATTTGAACATGTTCGTATTTAACACAGTCATGTTTGATGTAATGGGCTTGCTCTTTGCCATCCAAGTTTCTCCCATCCCATCCCCCTGAAGACACAGTAGGATAAGAGAAATATTTACTGCACAGTTCACAGATAGAAAAGAGCAGTCTGTAAGTGACCGTCCTTCTGCTTGCTGTTGCTGATGTTGTTGTCATTATGTACCCTTGAGTCAGAACTGACTCAGAAGGGACTCTCCAGTGGTGTTCAGTCTATAAATCACAGAAGAGGAGATTGCCCATCCTTCTCCCCCTGAGCCACTCATGGATCTGAACCACATGTCTTTCAGTTGGCAGCACAACTCCTTACCACTAAACCAAGGGAGCTCCCTTTGTTCTGCTTATTGTTGTTATGTGTCCTTGTCATAGGTGACTCATACATAACCCTCCAGTGGATTTCAAAGCAGTAACTTGCATGGAGCAAAGACTAAAATGTTAACAATGTCATTTCACTTTTTCTACTTAGTTCTCCCTAACTAGTTCTGTAAACGGCACGATACGGATTTTCAAAAATAATGCATGTTAAATGTGATAAGGAATTTTCTTAGTTACACTGACATTAACTTTGCTTCTGTCCCTGGAACTTGCACTCAGGTTTAAGAACAGCAATTCTCGGCTTGGGGCAGGGTCTGGGCCATGCTGCCTGAGCTCTGAGCAGAGCTGAGCTCTCCGAACCTTGTGCGCGCTCCTCACACACTCCCTCTGTTCCCATAATAAATCTTTTCCTCTGCACTCAGTTAGCTGAATAGCTCAAGATTTCATGTCTGTACCTCAGTCTAGAAATAAACTTTATCATCTTAATGCAACTTGGACTGTGAAAGGAGAGAAAGAAATGACCCATCTAAGGGGAAGCTTGCCCCACCTGAACCGAAACAAACATCAGGAGAGAGTTCGAAGCTTCTGGCTCCTGACCCTAATTTCTCAGCAGACGTACCGGATGAAATATAGTACCTAGGGGTTTTGTTCTTTTTCTCTTTCTTCCTTGAGGATCAGCACCTTTGACGATTTCTATGTACATTCATTCATATTCTCTCTCATCCATGGGTCCTCACCCCACCAAACCCACACTCATTCTTCTACACAAAGCAAGCAATTGAGTCTGGATTAATAACACACTTCTGTTATTAATCGTGAACGGAAGCATTTTACTTCAAACATGTTCACTTTCATAAAACTGAAACAAGCCTCAAGAACATAAATTTACCCTGAGTTCTGACAGTTCCACAGTCAAGGAAAGGAGGTGAGAAAGACAGCAAAGGCTGAAGACATAAAGAGAAGAGCTTTGTTGTTGGAAGGGTGCCCTGGGATGAGTTTTCAATCCCCAGCAGCGCCATGTGAAAGAGCACAATGGTCCCACGGTGTTTTCTGGGCTATCATCTCTGCAGAAGCACATGGAGGCTGGCTGGGTTCAAACAAACAATCTTTCTGTTAACAGCCACATCCTTAACCATTGAGACACCAGGGCTCCATCTACAGACATCGAGGAATAATTCACAAAGCAGAGAATTCCTATAAGTTTTTAGTCAAGAACAGATCCTCAAAATAGTAACTCAAGTATAGTTCCTAGGACATTATGGACTACCACTTGGGAACAATATTTTAGGATTACGGCCAAGGGTCCAGCTATAGAGATATGGTTCCTTGGCACAGCTGCAGATGGAAAGCCAATGATGATGGACAAAGCAACTTAGGACTTCCAATTTGTCAGCCAAAGGAAATGGTAGGAGATCAAGAGTGAAGCAAGTGTCTGAGAGGAGGGCATGACATCTCGGGAGCCAGGGCCACGGCCTGCAGCCGTGACAAGGAACATGGCCTGGAACCGTGTCACCACTCAGAAACGACCACATTGATCATGAAACAAACAGCAAGTATGCCTCACAAAAACCCCACGTGTGGCAGAGCCGGAAGATGCTGCCATGGTCCACAATGCTGATGTCCCAAAAGTCAAGTGTCAGGTCTTCTTCCTGGGCACCACTGGCAGACTTGAACCTCCAGCCTTTTCAACACTGGCCAAGGATATTATCGAGGACTCCATGCTGACCAATGCCCTGCATAATCATACAAAATACCCCCAGGGTGAAACAGAGAGGGCAAGAAGGGAAGTAGAGAGCTATTGGTACATATTTGGTGCCAAGTGTTGCACAAGTACTTTCTCTATCATTTTGATTTACGCGAATATAAAGCAGAACTGTTCCAATGTTGTCAGTGCATCCTACTTGGACTTTGATCATCTCTTCTCCTAAGTCATGAAGAGAAGGTAGGTCAAACTCAAAACTCATTGTTTTCAAATCAGTTCTGACTCAGAGCTGACCAACAAATTTCTAAGACTGCAGATCACCTGGAATGAGATTTCTTACTTTTACCTCCAAAGAGTGGCTGGGGTGGATTTGAACTAGCACAGAAGTGCTGCTTTGGAGTTAGCAAGACAATTCTCTATGTACCACCACTTTTCCCTCAGAGAAGGTGAGTAATCAATT